TTAGTGGAAGAGAGGAGGAGGCAGCTAGGTGGAGGCGCGTGCCCTCCCAAGCCCAATCCTAATTGGGGGGGCTTTCCTTCTCTCCCTCTTCCTCTTTCCTTCCCCTCCTAGTTGGACTAGGAGTCGGTACCCCCCCCCTTGGGGTGCGCCCCATGAGCCCGGTCGGCCCCCTTCTCCCGTCCTTTATATACGGGGGAGGGGCACCCCATAGACACACAAGTTGACTACTTAGCCGTGTGTGGTGCCCTCCTCCATAGATTTCCACCTCGGTCATATTGTCGTAGTGCTTGAGCTAAGCCCTGCGTCGGTAACTTCATCATCACCATCACCACGCCGTTGTGCTGACGAAACTCTCCCACGGCCTCAGCTGGATCAAGAGTACGATGGACGTCACCAAGCTAAACTTGTGCAGATCGCGGAGGTGTCGTGCGTTCGGTACTTGATCGGTTGGATCGCGAAGACGTTTGACTACATCAACCGCGTTACTAAACGCTTCCGCTCTCGGTCTACGAGGGTACGTGGACACACTCTCCCCGCTCGTTGCTATGCTTCTCCTAGATAGATCTTGCATGATCGTAGGTAATTTTTTTGAAATACTACGTTCCCCAATAGATGTACCATTCATGATGAGGGCATTCCAGTGCCTCCTATTGTTCCCATGAAGGAGGAGGTGAAGCCCAACTTTAGGACTCCTCCAAGTTAGAGGCGTGCCAAGGGTTCACCGAACCATGGTAATTCTGTCGATTGCTTTTTTAGTTATTTATTTTATTCCAGGCCATGTTATGGGCCAATTAGGATATTTATTTGTGTGTTTCGATTTGGGCCTGTCCAACCGACTTGGTTTCTGGTCTCCTATATAAAGGACCCAACTTTGAAGGTTTAGGGGAAGTTTAGATTTCGAGTTGTGTCTCGGGGTGAAGCATCCCTCCGGGGACGGCGCCGCCGCATATCTAGATTGAATAAAGTTGCGTGAGGTTCTTGTGTGCATCAAGAATTATCAGGATGAGGTTTGAGGCATGTTTTGATCATCGTCATGTTGCTTGCTGGATTCGTTCCTCTTCTTCAGGTTGCGTTCATTGCATGATTGGAAGATTAGATATTTGTTGATTCGCCGTGAAAGATTGGGTCAAAACCTTTGGATCATCACGTTGATCCTTATCAATTCATCTTTTATAGGACTAAGGAGAATCAACTGTTCAAATGGATCTGGAAGACAGCTAATAGGCTCAGACATAAAATATTTTCCTGGCTGCTGCTTCATGACAGAGTTAACACCAGGAATCTGCTTAAGAGAAAAAACATGCACACCTGGAGTGCTATGAATGTGTCTTCTACAATGAGAATGCTGAAGAAACCTTGAGACATTTGTTTTGGGACTGCAATTTTTCTCAAGACTGCTGGAACAACATTGCTCCCACTAGAATACTGGGCATATCAAGTTTTTATGATATCATGCTCATACACTCTTCACTTCCTAAAGGAATAGCTTTGGATATTATTATCTAAGAATGTTGGAGAATTTGGACTCAACGCAATGGCAAGATCTTCAAGCAAGAAGTGATGCTGGAAATTCAGGTTCAAGGAAGATTTGATGCTTGTGCATTATAGAATAAAGGCAAAACATTTGATGTGACTAAATGAATGGATTACCGCACATCTGTGATGTTGGTCAGCCCAATCAGATCACCACATTGGTTTCACCATGTTTCCTAAGCAAGGCATTAGTTGGCTAGAGATTAGTCTTTATTTTTTACTTTTTTATTTTCTATATATATTATTGTAACGTTTTGTGATTTGATGAAAATTACCGTAGAACAGTTGTTCTACAATCTGCGGGTCAAAAGCAACAATTTAATTGAAGTGGAATTGGTCGATTTATAGCAATTCCATACTCCAAGACATAAACCAAATGGGTTTAAACATGTTTGCCCTAAATAGGATATTTCCAAGTTCTTAACATGCATGATTATGGCATACAGTATACTCCTTTTTTCTGAATTTTTTGTTATATTATTACACATATTTCTTAGATCATCAATTGTATGGCGCAAATATATTATACTTATTTTTTCTAAAATATATATGATATTTTATGGATGGAAGTCCTACTAGAAAATAAGCTTAATGGCTATACACTGACATTGCTGTAAAATAGTACACTGACATTCCCTTAGAAAAAGCTATACACCGAGATGCGTGCGAGCACGTGCGGACCCTGTCTAACTGCAATACAGGAGTATCATCACCAGAACCCTGGGCCCGCCTTGCCAGTTGCCATGCCCAAATCACCGGATAATATCTCCCGCAACTTCCCCCCAACACGACGACCATTTCTTTTCCATACTTCCACACCTCACCAGACCAATCCCCTGACCCGTCTCTCTCGTCTCCCGCGGCGGCGGGGGCGGTGGCGCGCGGCCGTTGACCCGATGACCGGCGGAGGCGGAGAGGACGTCCCCGCGGCGAGGCGGCGCCCCCTGACGGTTCTCCCCCTCGTCGCGCTCATCTTCTACGACGTCTCGGGCGGGCCGTTCGGCATCGAGGACTCTGTCCGCGCCGGCGGCGGCGCCCTGCTCCCGCTCCTCGGCTTCCTCATCCTCCCGGTCCTCTGGTCGCTCCCTGAAGCCCTCATCACCGCCGAGCTCGCCTCCGCGTTCCCCACCAACGCCGGCTACGTCGCCTGGGTCTCCGCCGCGTTCGGCCCCGCCGTCGCCTTCCTCGTCGGCTTCTCCAAGTGGGCCTCCGGCACCCTCGACAACGCGCTCTACCCGGTGCTCTTCCTCGACTACCTCCGCTCCAGCGGGCTCGCCCTCGCGCCGCCGCTCCGCTCGCTCGCCGTGCTCGGCCTCACCGCCGCGCTCACCTACCTCAATTTCCGCGGCCTCCACCTCGTCGGCCTCTCGGCGCTTTTCCTCACCGCCTTCTCCCTGTCCCCGTTCGTCGCGCTCACCGCGCTCGCCATCCCCAAGATCCGCCCTTCCCGCTGGCTCGCCGTCAACCCCAAGGCCATCGACCCGCGCGGCTACTTCAACTCCATGTTCTGGAACCTCAATTACTGGGACAAGGCGAGCACGCTCGCCGGCGAGGTTGACGAGCCGAGGAAGACGTTCCCCAAGGCGGTGTTCGGCGCCGTGGCGCTCGTCGTCGGCGCGTACCTCATCCCGCTCCTGGCAGGCACCGGCGCGCTGCCATCGGAGACAGCGGCCGAGTGGACGGACGGGTTCTTCTCCGAGGTCGGGCAGAGGATCGGCGGGCCCTGGCTGCGCGTGTGGATCCAGGCCGCGGCGGCCATGTCCAACATGGGGCTCTTCGAGGCCGAGATGAGCAGCGACTCCTTCCAGCTCCTCGGCATGGCCGAGATGGGCATGATCCCCGCCGTCTTCGCCCGCAGGTGATGAATCTCGAAATCCAATCTTCCCGCGAAGAAGAAACCAAAAAAACATGTCTCATCTTCCCGCGATGCATTGTCTTACACGCAGATCGCGACACGGGACGCCGACGTACAGCATCCTCTGCTCGGCGACGGGGGTGGTGGTCCTCTCCTTCATGAGCTTCCAGGAGATCATCGAGCTCCTCAACTTCCTCTACGGGCTCGGCATGCTCGCCGTGTTCGCGGCGTTCGTCAAGCTGCGTTTCAAGAACCCGGACCTGCCCCGGCCGTACCGGATCCCGCTCGGCTCCGTGGGGGCAGCCGTCATGTGCGTCCCGCCCGTCTTGCTCATCGGCACCGTCATGTGCCTCGCGTCGGCCACGACCATCGTCGTCAACATCATCGTGCTCGCTGTCGGGGTCGCCATGTACTTCGGCGTCGAACGCCTCAAGGGCAGCGGCTGGGTCGAGTTCCTGACGCCCGTGCCGTCCGACAGCTTCCACGGATCGTCGTCCGACGACGACGTCGAGGATGTCCGCGCCGTCCTCCTCCCCGCCGGCGTGCCCCACGCCCAGGAGGAGGAAGTGGCAAGCAAGGCCGAGTAGCGCGCGCGCGGGGAGAGGCGGTCGCAATTTGTACCTAGACACATACTGTACGTACCTAGTACAGTTGTTGTACAGTAGGTTCAGTAAATGGGTATATTTGTCATACACCAATTCCTTCATACCAGAGTTAGTTGAGTTGTAGTATAAACCCCCGACTTTTCAGGGTGATCATTGTAGTTGCTTCATGTTTGGGATTCGTTTCAAGGGTTTGAGCTCTGGATCTCGATGCAGAGCGCAGTGGGTTGATTGACTGAACAGAAATACTCTAGTTTTCAGTTTAGGTAGATTTCGGTCATCTGACTTTCCTAGTTCGGGTCAGTCGATTTTTGAATCATGGAAGGAGAAGGAAGGGCCTCACCAGAAAGAAAGAATGGGCTTCGGTCATCACCCCATTATCTATTTTAAGTTTCAGGGTGGGGGCGGTGGTAGCCGGCGGTGGTGGGGGGTGATGGTGGGGCGGTGGCTGGAGAAAAAGCTCGGCGTGGGAGGGCCCTAGAGGGATGGCCGGGGCGGCGGAAGACCGGTGGCGGGGGGTGGTTTAGGGGAGGGCGGCGAGGCGGTTGAGGGAGCGCTGCCGGCTGCAGGAGGCGGCAGCTGGCGGCCGGCCGGTGACAGCAGGCGGCGTGCGGGAGGAAGAAGAACACCCGAGCAATCTTTTTATGGGAAAGTTGTTGGGAGGAAGACACAATCTGAGCCGTCCGTTCTCTATCCAACGGTTCAAATTCATCCCAGCCAAATTGACTGATTCCAAACGAGATTCAGTCGACTGGCTCCTAGCCATTCCCAATAGTTTTTCTTCAGCAAAGTGCATGAAGATTGTCCTGCAGTCAGGTTCCATTTAAAGTGCAGCACGTATATACTCTGCAAGACTCAACGACAGCAAACATGTTCCGTTATGCTATTCCAGAGCCAGAGTCTTTTTCTATCGGATTCACATCACAGCAAAAAAATATAATGACACGAAAACTTCTTCTGAGAATGAAAGCTCACCATACTACACACGTGACTCGTGCAGATGGAACACACAGACAGAGAATTCCACTGCCAACTATAAATGGATCAGATGATGGGCTTTTTTTGAGAGAGAGAGAATCAGATGATGGGCTTGTGTAGATGCACGTCACCATCGGCTTGCTGGAGAGTGGACATAAACGTGCCGCGCGTGGTGAGAGGGCTCAAATAAGTCGTCCTCTTGGACGGGATCAACACCGTCGGTTCCTTTCCGCTGGAATGCTGAATCAAATACTGAAGCGATTGCAATCGGAGCCCCTCCCATTGCACTTTTGTCTCCTAGTATAAGTTTGTGTGGGATTTTTCATAGAAAAAAACAATATCGTCTCCTTCTTTGCCGGGTTGTGCGACGCCGAGTGGTGGTAGGTTCAATTGTTTGAGTGAGCAGAAGTTGTGTTTCGTCGGCAAAGTGCGGATAGATTGTGATGCGGTCAGCTTGGCTCTTCGGTAAAGTACTAGTACTAGCACGAATCTTCTGTTCTGTAAGACTGATAGATTAGACTGCACTGCTCACCCTTCCTATCTTTTCTTTCCTTAATCCCTTCCTCCTCCATGCATGTTTCTCTCCGGTACCTGCTATCTCACGGCTAACTGATGTTACTTTGGAAACATTTGTTTCGTAGTAGTAGGTTTCAGGCTTTTTCGGGACTGGAAAATGGATTAAAATGCAAACCGGATAAAGAACCAGTCGTATGATCGGCACCGTATGAAGCTGGAAATACTATTGAACTGCACACGCGTGAGTCGTGCATATCGGGATCAGCGGGATCAGATGGACATGCACGCCACGGATGCGTGTTGCCGTCGGCTTCGGCTCTCTCGTCGTGGCTCAGTTAAACCGATTAAGTTATGGGCGATGATCTGCGCCAGCGCACCGGCCCAACTATTGGACCGGTCGAACGCTAGCCGCCCGATGCAGCGAGCTGGAACCGTTCGATCTGGCAACTCAACTCCCCACTTGTTCTGCTTCTTTCGTTCAAAGCTTTCACAAAAACGCCCCCAACCCTGCAACCAATCTTCCTCCTCCCGCCGTCGTGCGTGTGCACCCGACGAGCTCGCCGCTCCCCGCCCCCTGCGGTTGCAGCATCTGGTGCGCCGGGCCCCTTTGTCCTTGCCGTAGGCGTCGCCGTCTCGCTGGCCTCCATTGATATGCATCGTACCTACAGAAACTCCGGTGGTTGGTTGAAACAAAATCGAACAACGCTTCCAGCAAAACCAAACTTAGGTCCCAGCAAAAACCACATGAAACATTTGAAAGCTCCGCAGTCCGATGAAGTAAAAAAAAAATATCTATTCCAGCAAAGAAATACATCGGTTCCAGCAAAAACAAAAATTTGGTTCACCAAAAAAAGACGCATCAGCAAAAACGCCCGCTCCCTCTTGCAACTCCCCCAGTCACCAGTTGTAGCTCCGGTGTACATGGTTGCAACTCCCTGTGTTTGAACGACGTTGGATGCATCCCTCCTCGCCGCTGGATGCAGCTTCCTCTAGCGAGGTGTCAACCTTGCAGCACCTCCACCAACTGGTTTCAGCGAATCGGGATACCGGTTCCAGCAAAAACAAAAAGAGTTCATCAAATCGAATGGGGATGGTAGCAAAAAAGAAAGGGGTTGTAGCAAAAAAAAGGTGGATCCAGCAAAAGAAAACCTGGTTCCAGCAACCCCCGGCTCTAGCACAAACTCGTCGCCGCCGCGACTGATTGCTGGTTGGTCATGGCGACTAGAGAAGCTCAGGCTGCAGTTGCCATGGAGAGGGGGCGCGTCCAGTTGCCAGCGGACAAGGCCACGAGCAAGCCCCTGGCTGTGGGCGGCCATGGAGAGGGATGCATCCGGTGCAGGTGACCCGCGCACGATTCAAACGAGGAGCATCGAGTTGCCAGCGGCCACGGCGGCGAGCGCGCCCCAGGCTGTGGGTGAATGGGGAGGAAGATGCGACTGGATATGGAAGTGGATGAGCAACGAAGGGATAAGGAAAAGAAGGCCCGCGGGTTGCGGGCGGTGCGTGGGCCCCAACATCCACACATTTGATCCCCTATGTGGAAGACTTGGCTAAATAGGCGCTTCGATCGCTAATAAACCGGGCGATCCGTGCGTGACTGGCCGAAGCTTCGGCCGGTCCGCCGGCTACAACCTTTTCCCTTAAGTTATGCATGAAGGGCGACCAACCAGCTATGCCACGTGGCGCAAGCTGATTGGCCGCAGTGAGAATTTTTTTGTAATTTTTTAGATGAAACTAAAGATTATCTTTTAAATGTATATTTTTTCTTTTTAGATGGAGATAAGGACCTTTGGTGTTTTTTAAATGAAGGGTTATGCAAAATGGGCTCACAGGTAGACAATGGTGTTATTTTTTTTTTAGATGAATGTGAGGATTTTTTTTCTCTAAGATATTTTTTTAGACAAAGGCGAGGATGCTATGTATTTAAAAAAAAAAATAGAAACATGCGCATAACTTCCTTTTAAGCGGCGCCACAAGGTGGTGCCCCAACCACTAGTGTTTATCATCTTCGGAGGGATCAACGCTGTCAGTCGCCATGGACACCGTCGCTTAATCAAAATGCCGGAACTGCTTTCGGTCCATCACTAACAGCATCTCTAGCAGATCTCATATCTCTTCGTCCCCTAATTCTCAGCGTTGACTATATATGTTATGTGTATATTCTGTATGGGCCCGCCTCCTAGTTTCTTGTGTAATTAAGATCTATGGCCAATCTTTATACATCATATATACATGCATATGTACGGAGAGTAATACATCATGCAATCATAATATAATACATGATACCAGTTTCTTAGGTTTTTTTCTCGCTTCCCTCGCCGCCGCCGCCACGCCGGCCGCCGCCGCTCGCACGCCCTCCACGCCGGCCGCCGCTCCTCCCTCCACCCGCCCGCGCTGCGTCCGGCTGCTCCTCTCTTCCCCAGCTGCGTCCCCGCTTCACTCCAGCCCGATCCAGCCGCCCGCCGCCCATTCGATCCCGCTCGCCCAGCCGCCTGCTGCTACGCTCACGTACACAAAGCTAGCTTGCATGTGGATCGATTCTCCCGCGGTCACCCCGTATGTACGTACAAGTGCATGTACGAACCGTCGGCTGCCGATATGGATCGCTCGAACTCTCTCGCCAAAACACACGCGAATATAGTACGCGGACAGTGCTCGACCCCGCTCGCCCGGCCGCCTGCTGCTACTACCCGCTCGCTCCCGCCCGATTCAGCAACTCGCCCGCCCGCGTGCGCCCGAGCCAGCCGCCAGCCACCACGGGCGCCCAAGCCGCTGCTGCCGCACGCGCAATCCACCCGAGCCACCGCGCGCGTCTGTTGCCACTGCTGCACCGAGCCGTCCGAGCCGCCCGCGCCAGCCGCGTCGTCTGTCGCCGCCGTCGGACTAGCGATGGCGTCAACCAGTCCATTCACTGCTGCCTCTGCCGCCGCACCGCCGGCGCCCTCCGGCCAGTCCGCCGTCGCGTCGCTGCTGGCGCCCTCCGACACAGCCCCCCACGTGCCCGTTTCCATGTACGGGGCGTACGGGGCTCTGCCCGCGTACGGGTCTCCCGAGTATTGATGGGGTCGTCAACGAGCCAGCACTCGTCCGCTGGGCAGCAGCCCGACGACGCCCAACATCTGTCAGCGGTCCCACAGGTTTTTTTAGTGGACCATCCGGCCTATCCGGCACCGCAGATGCCGCCGGGACTGCTCTCCATACCGTATGGGCCTCCTCCCCCTCGTGCGCATCATGCGTACTACGCGGCTCCGCAGCCGTATGACGAGTACCCACCGTCATAGATGAGCAACGGTTACGGCTTTCCCATGGCGTCTCCGTCCCCCTCGCCGGCCTGCCGCCGACGCTCTGGGAACCGGTGCTCCTCACCGGGCTGCATGCTACTCCTACACCGAACAACTACACTGTAGGTAGTGATTGGTACATGGACACCGGTGCCACGTCTTATATATTTGCTCATCCTGATAACCTTGCCTCCTTCACTCCTGTCTCCA